AAAGTCTAATACTATTATACCGAAGTCAATATAATGGTTAGAAATAGTTTTACCAGAATCTTTGTCTATACAAACTGACAATCAACATTTACAAGCACCTTCTAAAAATATTCCAGATAGAATAATAGATCATATGGATGGAAACATAGAAATACAATTTACTAGTCAAAAGAAAGGTAAAATAAGTAAAGATGATTATGAAATTGGACCAAGTAAAAAAATCTTAGAACCATCTAGAAGTTCTACTTCATCCATTAATAAAAAAATACAAGGTTTATTAAGAACAAAAGAAAATATTGTAATACCTCAAATATAAAAGAATACAAAGTGAATCTAAATCAATGCAAAGTGATCCAGACTTTTCTGATACTGAAATGGATTTCCAAATATTAACCCTACAAGAAGAACAAAAAATTGATAAAAATTATATTGAAAAACATTATCTGTCTAAAGAAAATAAAGAAATTAGAACTTGGTATCTTAATAAATTTGAACCAAGATTTCTAGAATTATTTCATAAAAAATATAATAAGTTTCTTAAGACAGAAAAACAAAACAAAGGATTCTTCATTTGGTTAAAAGAAATTCTCAATGAAAAAGGAGTCCCAATTCCTTATTTTGAAATAAACACCCTAGAAAGCCAATATACTACTTATAATACAACGGAAGGAAATAAAATTACTAGCATACATCCTCCAGAAATGAGCATTGTAATAAAACGAAAAGAATCAGATAGTTCACCAACTTTGGAAACAAAAGCCACACCTTATAAAATGATTACTGGAGAAATTGTTCATAGATCAGAATTAAAATAATTCTACTAATCTATATATACAATCTATAGGTAGACAAACATTAAGAATTGAAAATATGTTAAGACCAGCCCCTATATAAGAATCACAAAAATTTTTATTATTCAAACCACCTCCTATTATAAATAAAGAAAGATTTCTTGTTGGAGAAAATCATAAAACTCTTATGGATCAATTAATATCAAAATTAGCCAAACTTGAAATAAAAGAAAAAGACAATATAAAAGATATAAAAGGTAAGGGTAAAATAATCCAAGAATCAGAAACCTTGATGCTTTCAGAAGAACCTATAATAGAAAATACAATAGAAAATATGGAAATAGCATTCACTGAAAATAATAAACTTAATGATCAACATATTCAAAGAATATATTATGTAAAAACTTGGAAACCTGCTACAGCTAGACCATATCATCATAGACCTACACCTGTAGATATCCAATTTGAAGAAGATCTAATATCTCATACAACCTCTTATTCAAGAAGAACAATAGTAAACTGGAATATTGATAGAATGTCTGAACACCAAATTCGTGATACAATGAAATACATGACCATGTATGCATCTGCCTGTAAAATGGTAGGAAACCATGACCAAGAAGGCTCAAAAGCCATAATATGTGGTTTCATTGGATGGCTTCGTGGTTGGTGGGATTTTCATTTACTTGAAAATGCCAAAAATCAAATTTTAAATACCACTAGACAATGGACCATAAAAAATGAACAAAATCAAGATATATTATATTCTGAGAGTGATGCTGTTAATACTCTCATTTAGACCATCACTCTTCATTTGTGGGGAGTACAGCCCTACTTGAAGCCCAATCTGAAGATTTATTATCTAATTTAAGATGTCCTACATTATCACACTACAAATGGTATAAAGATGTATTTTTCTCAAGATTATTAACTAGAGAAGATAGCCAATTAGATCATTGAAAAGAAAAATTTATAGCTGAATTACCTTATTTATTTGTTGAAAAAGTAAAAAATAGACTGAAAAGTAAGCATGGAGGAATAATACCATATTCAGCTTATACTCTAGGAGAATTATCTGCTGAAATATGTGTAGAAGGATTAGCCCTATGCATATATATGAAATTAAAGAAACAATTAGATAAACAACGAATGACTGGTAAGAAAGAACTTGGAGATTTCTGTGAGCACTTTGAATATAATATTGAAAAATCCAAGGAAAAGCCTCATAAAAAGCAAAAATATAGACCAGAGAAAAACGAAAGAAAAATATATAGGAAAAATAAAGGAGAAAAATTCATAAAAAGATTTTCACCAAAATACAGATGTAAGAAAGGTAAGAAAAAATTACCTGTATGTTATAAATGTGGTAAGGTAGGTCATTACAAAAGTAACTGTAAGGTAAAAAAGAAAATAGACACAATAATCTTGGATGAAAATATTAGAAATAAAATATATGGTATCATACAAATTTATGATGAAGATAGTTCCACAGAAAGCTCTAGTGATACTTCATTTTTAGGAAATATTGAAGATGAAGATCTTATATGGACTAGTTCAATAGAATAATCTGATAATGAAATGCAAGAATGGTCTTGTAATATGTTAACTAAAGAAGACAATTTCATTTTAGATTTAATAGAAAAAATTACCAATCCAGATGAAAAACGAGAAACCATAATTCAATTTATTAGTATTACCAAAGCAAAAAATAAACCTATTCCTTTAATAAAACCTCCTGATGAATATAATTTTGCTGAAATTACGAAAAGAATCAATAGAAAAGAGGCACTGCAAAAGGAACCAACTATTGCAGAATTAAAGAAGGAAGTAAATGAGGTCAAATTAGAGGTACAACAACTAAAAACTAGAATTAAAATATTAGAATTACAAAATGAGGTTTCAGGAAATATAACAGATACTGATGAAATAAAATTCATCGAATTGATCGATAATCATAATAAATCTATAAGAATAGAAGAACCTCAATCATCAGGAACCAAATAGAAGAAATAAATAGTAATAAATCTGTAAACTTGATAAATAAAATTATAACACAAAAATGGTTTGTGTTAGTAAGAATCATATTAAAAGAAGAATATAATTTTCAATCCATAGCTTTAATAGATTCAAGAGAAGATTTAAATTGTATCAATGAAGTTTTGGTACGTACAAAATATTTTGATAAAACAACACTAATATTAAATACTGTTGATGGAAGTAGATTATTCATTAATTATAAATTATCAGATGCTGTTATTTGTAATAATAAACATTGTTTTAATACTCCATTTATCATGGTAAAGGGATTAAGCCAAGCAGTAATACTTGGTGTACCATTTCTTACTTTGCTTTATCCAATAACTATAAATAGTATAAGATTAGAAACAACCATAGAAGGCAATACAATAAAGTTTGAATTCGTAGATAAACCAAAAATAAAAGAAATAAATAGAGTAAAAGATAGTATAAAACATAAAGAGCATTTTCTTTGTTCTTGAAAGGAAGAAATCAAATATAAAACGATAGAAGAAAAATTACAGTCCACTGAAGTTATAGAGAAAATAAAAAATATTGCAAAACAAATGGAAAATGAAATATGCAGTGACTTACTCAACGCTTTTCGGGAAAGAAAGAAGCATATGGTTAGTTAACCATATGAGTCTAATTTCAGTGAATCTAAAATTCCTACAAAAGCTAGACCCATACAAATGAATACAAAATTATTAGAATTTTGCAAAAAAGAGATAACTGAATTACTTAAAAAGGGATTAATTAGAAAAAGTGCGTCCCCTTAGAGTTGTGCTCCATTTTATGTAAATAAAAGAAAGAGGAGTTCCAAGATTAGTAATTAATTATAAACTATTAAATAAAGCACTTCAATGGATAAGATATCCCATACTAAATAAAAAAGATTTATTAGATAGGTTAATAAATGCTTGTATTTTTTCTAAATTTGATCTAAAATTCGGATATTGACAAATCCAGATAAAAGAAGAAGATAGATATAAAACAACATTTAATGTACCATTTGGACAATATGAATGAAATGTTATGCCATTTTGTCTAAAAAATGCCCATCAGAATTCCAAAGAGTAATGAATGAGTAATGAGTGATGTTTTCACTTCTTATTTTAAATTTATGATAGTATATATTGATGATGTATTAATCTTTTCTGAAAATAGCTCACAACATATCAAACATATTAATGTCTTCATAAATGCTGTAAAAAATGCAGGATTGGTAGTCTTTGCAAAAAAGATGAGTTTGTTCCAAAATAAAATAAGATTCTTAGGACATAATATATATCAAGGAACAATTATCCCAATAGACATATCTATACAATTTGCAGATAAATTTTCAGATATCAT